ATACATAGGCATATGCATTCAAGCAAGTGATCAGTACATTGACTGAAATGGAATTATTCTTCAGACTACATATCATGTTGAACTGAGGCCTTGGTATAGTCTAAGCAACTTTTAGTTCCAAAATTGCTGTCTTTACTAAGCTTCTGACCTTACTGGCATTTGCTGTCTATTGCTACTGAAACAAGTCTTTGAGCAGAAGCTTTAGTGCTGCAATTCCAATATCTAACGAGCATTATGTTTCAATTCTTTTTTTCCTATGGTACTGTGAACAAGTGCTTTGGAGAAATCTAGACATGTATGTTTTCCACCATTGAAAGAATTACATTCATCTCATCAAGAAAGCTGAAGCAATTTGCAACACTGTTAAAAAGATTTATTTTTTTTAAGGATAGAAGTTTTCTTGTGAAACTTTTTGTGAAGAATTTTGTTTATGAAACTCATAGCCCTATTTCTACAGCATAGAATATGAATAAATAAAAGGAATGAACTCTTGGCTCCATTATATTCAGTATCAATATTTTAGGTTTTCTGTTTCACTAGGTTTTAATTCACTATGTCCTTCCCAGAGTTAAGTTTGGTATAGCGTTTCCTTCCAGAAGTGTGAAAAGTTAAATGCAGGTATCACAGAGGGCATTCTTGTGTCTTTAACAGTAAAAGCCCATTGTAGTGGATGCATGTCACCTGTCAGTGAAATTTATGTGGAATACAGCAGCTGTGTAGTGTTACACACAAATACAGAAGAATATCTAACGATTAATATTTCATCATCATTGCATAACCATTTGCTGTGGTAGAAAAAATATTGCTGTGGAGTGTGACCCCAAACTGAAAAATGACAGGAACGATGGGTCTAGGGTGCGTGTTAATAATACAAAATAATAAGAAAATGTTAATAATAACAAAATAATACACTTTTGTGACTCATTAAAGTCTCTCTGTAATAACGGTGTGTTTCATTCTGTGTTGCTGAGGGAAGTTGCAAACCAGAAGAAAAAGCCCTTTCTACATACTCCCAGATCCATTTCCTTAATTGCTGAGATTTTCCTGGGTACTGAAGGACAGACTAGACATTGTTCAACATTTTAGCTGAATGAAGTGACACTGGGCTATAATAAGCTGCAGCTGAAATCCAACTACAAAGTGTTTTCCAACAGTACTCAGGAATAAGGCATTGTATTTGTAGTTAGTACATAGGGATATATTTTTTGGCAGCAGTTAAATTCTTACTTGCTGTATATTTTCCTAGGTTTTCTGCTGGACTAAATCACTGTATCCATGATTTACAGTTAAATATTTGCTTTAAATGTGGAAGTGACACATTCACATTGCCTTTTCAGCATGTACAGAGAAAGGAGAAGAAAATGAAATGGCATTCTTTTTCTAGAAATGCTGATATAATTCACATATTGGAATGTGAATGGTGGACTCTGAATTAATTACTGCATGTTTTGATGTAGATTAGACTGATTAATAGGCACGGAATAGTGTAAACACTTGGATCTTCACAGCAGATTTCTTCCATCTAGGGGAGAAATATGAAGAAAATAATATTTTTGGAAAAAAATGGTCACATAGCCTATTGTTTAGGCAAGCAGTTGCACTTACTGGCACAACTAGTTAACAGCGCAAAACAAATATGTTGTGTCTGGTGAATTAGTGATAACCTGCATGCTAACTGTGATGCTTTATTGTGTTACTTGGCTTTGGATATAGTTGCACACTGTATTCTCTTGAAGAAATAAGAATAAAAAATCTGCCATTGCGTATAACAGAACCACTGATTTTCATGCATTACTGCATCATAAATGTTCACTTCTTTTTCCTAAGATATATTCGTGCTTATAAAGTATATATTTATCCCCTCAAATTATGGTTACTAAATTAGCATGCCATATTTTTCACAAAATTAATCTTTTTCCAGTTTTGTCTGTCTGACTAATAACTTGATAAATCTCTCCTTATCTTCTAATGGCAGATGATTTATCAAGGCTTACCACTTAATTAGTATTACAGAGCATGTGGGGAGCTGAAGAATTCAGAAGTATTTTCCATAGCTTGGACATGTAAAATGAGAAGCATAGGAGAAAACAGAAAGATAATCTTGTAACTGAGAAAAGGCCTTTGTGATTTAAGCATGGGATTGAGGTTCAGGAAATGGTGAGTTCTATCCCACAAATCCATCATGCTTCCCACTAGACTTTGGACAAGACTGATTTTTTTTTCTTTGCTGCAGTTGACCATTCTGCAAAATATTTAGGGTAATACTGTCTTATCTCTTAGGGTAGTTTAATGCTAGATTTGTCTAGCATTACTAGTGTTATAGGACATGTATTATTTTTTTAATTTATTGAGTTGTACTTATACAAGCACTTCCATGATATAGATGTAGCCTGATTTTTTTCATATTAAAAAAGTGTACATAATATGTAATATATAAAGGATTCTTCTGTGACATAAATATTTTAACTTATGTATCTGAAGCACATATAAACAGACAGAAATCTCGGAGAGGGTGTCAATGAAGTTTCAGCTTTCCTGAATACTTTACTTTTTCTCCATTTCCAGGTTGCATGTCTCACTCATGTAGCAGCTAATTACCTTAATTGCAAAATTGAAGCAAAACGCTGGGGTACTGCTCATGGGAGTATTGTTCCGTATCAGGTAAGCAGAAAGCATTAGTTTTTTTTGCTCTTGGGATTCATGATTTTGTGTATTATGAGATTGAGAACTGACATACTTTTCCCATGACCTGCTGTAGTCTGTAATGTGTCTGTGTCTAGGTAGGACAAGGTTCTGTTGTTCATTGTCACTTCTGCATTTTGCATATTTCTTCATCAGCAGTAGATTAGTAACAGAACACTGAAATAGATCAAAGGTGTTTGCTGAAATTGGATGACTTTAAAGCTAGCATGATGACTTGATTGGTTTTCACCTGACAGAGGAACCTTTTTTTTTAAGGGGTAAAATCTTTTGCCTCTGAATTTTGGTATTTTTATCTGGTGAGTCTACAAGGACAATCTAAATGGCAATGAAGATCTGGGAGTTCTACGTATTTGTCATTTTCTATTGATTTTGCTACAAATCACTGTGGCTCATTGAGACAACGGGTTGGCAAAAGGAATTAACCAGACCTCAGATCTCCCCAGCAGAATTCATAGTCTGCTACGTCTAATGAAGGGTTGAAATTCCTTAAAATAACATGACCGTCATATAAACAAGCACAGGAAAAAAAAAATTACTGCAAGTTTTATCTTACTTCTGGCTAGTAGGGGAAACTCTTCCAGTAAACAAAGACAATTTTGTTTTTTCCTTGCTGATGATTTTGTGTTCTTGATGGAAGTCATGCTAACTTATGAAGACCTAGGAATATATTTAATTTAAAAAAATCTATTTATTTCATAATTTTTGGCACTTCTCATCAAAAAGTCATGTTTGCAACTAGCTAGGCAGAGCCTGGATTTCTTAATTTCTGGCCGGAGTCCTTTAAATCCTGAAAGGGACAGTTTCCAGAGTTTGTCTGGGAGAACTGCACCTAAACAGCACTCAGTTTCTTTATCACTCCTTTCTTTTTAGAGAAAGTGAGGGAAACTCAATGTATTGTCTTCTTCCCAGTGGTTAAGATGGTAGCGATCATGATGTTTAAAGATTTGCTGCTTGTGGCCATAGAAACTCTAAAGCAAAAATCTTCCATCGTTACGCAGAACACTGTCACTGGCTAGTGTCACAGCCAGGCGTCCTCAGGTCTAAAACCAAAATCAGTTGTTTTTGTACGAGCTACATCTACTTGAGCTAGGAGACTTTTTCCAGTACATACCACTGCGTAATCAACTGTCTTGTCATGAATTAGCTAGAACAGATGGCAAATTGTCTCAGACCTATGGGGAGATGTTGGGGCTCTTTCTGCAAGGATGGGTTTGGTGCTGCAGTATCCTTGTCTCAGGTGTAGTGCAGCGCAGCTATGGCTGTGCTGCTCTTTGGTTGGCATGGCGTAGCAGTATGGCCGTGTTTTCTAGAACTAGCTCTGCATGACCCAATGTAACCGGGCATCCACTACACAAGTAGTTACATTCTGCTGTTTTTCTGTGATGTGACCTTTTGGTGCAACCCTTTGTGAACTTTGGTATGTTGAAAGTAATAAACAGATCTGAAGTGTCTGAAGTTTGTATAAGCAAAATCAAAAACCTGACTAAACAAAACATTTTATCTTCGCCATACTGCATTTGGCTGAATAACTGAAACTTGCATTCTTTTATGTCCTTTTGCCTTTGTTTTTCCACAGTCAAAATGAAAAGAAAAGCATACATTGTTTCTTTTTTCATAGACAGCTCTCTAGATATACAAAATTTGAGGAGATTGTTTTAGCTATCTTCTGGTTTAATCTAGATTAATCAATATGTAAATAACTTAAAAAAAAAAATCCTATCTAAACTATGGTTCCTGTGTTTCTGTATGCTGTTTTTGTAGTAGGTATTAGAAATAATACCTCAATATTATAAACAATTTTAATCTGAATTTTCGTGTTCATAAACCAGTAATTAGGGTGGATTTACTATGGGTGGAGTTGTGTGTGTGTGTTTACAGCTCATCTATTAACATTCCATCAGCTAGCATGGTTATAATTCTGATTGTAACCATAAGTATATTATGCTTTCTAGAGTTTATTTTTCGCTTTACAAACGTAAGCTATACTTAGACTGCAAAGCTCTTCAGAAACTTGAATTAACCCTCACTGTTGCTATTGTACTGCTTTTATAGTTGCTTCCATAGCTCATTTGTAATATAGTTTAGAACAGAACTCTGAAACCTGGCTTTCATCCCTCATCCTAGTTATTGAATATACTGTCTTTTGCTTACTAAACTAATATGTTACTATTACAGTGCTAATTTTTACAAATAAACAGTTGGGGTTTTTTGGTTTCAAGATATTTTGTGCCAAGTGAACTATAATTTGTTCTAACAATAAAAATCATATTTCAGAAAATTGAATTTCTATATATTTCAGAACAAGTATGTGGTAGCGAACAGTTGTTTTTTTCCTTATGTCCTCAACTTTATTTTGTTTTCATTTGCTGTATTTTGAGTTTTCACACAGGTAGTAAATTACAACTCTGAAGTGATACAGAGCCTGCAATCATGCTAAAAAGTGTCAGACTGTGTTAAATCATGGAAGACTGGGTAAACATAAGAGATCCTTTTATAGATATTAAAAAGGCAAGATCTAAAAAATTTATGTCATCTTTCTGTGTGACAGAAGTCTGATCAGAGTCACACTAGAGTACTGACCAAAATCTAATAAAAAATGTATTGAAAGCATCTTCAATATGTACATAAATAGTACTTTTTTTGCTTATAGTTGTTACAGTAAGTGTTCTAGTGCTGTTTAACACATTCAGTAGTGTATACTGAATGCTATTGTAGCTTTTATTTCATTGAGCTTCAATTGAATAATTTTGTTCAGAATATCTTTGCAAATGACTCTATTTTTTTTTTCTATTTACAAGGCCAAGTTTAGCTTTGAGTATATCTCTGTAATTTCACTGAATTCCCTGTTGCTTCTTGACTGAAAAACTAGCAGCATAATTTGTCTGTGAATGTGTTCTCTAGATTGACTCTTCTTACTTTTCCTTGTATTTAAAAACATAAAAATTGACCATTAATGGGCAGCCGGGTTTTCTCTTTCCTGACACTACCAGATGTGTAGCACCTTTGAAAATCTATTTCTGGTCTGAGCAACAAGCTCTTAATACAAGAGATGTAAAGTTTGGTGTGCAAGGACTTTCATAGTCTTTTAAGGTTCTTCTCGTTTGCTGATAATGTGCTGACTTTGTGGCATGATCATCTGAAATGCCTGAGTTTTCAGTTCTGTGCGCTCATCACCAGAACGCAAAGGAAAGGATTTGAACTTCTTTTGAGTGTACAATGTCTTTCAGGGTTCCTGTAAAGCTGTCTGTAAAGGTTTGCCATAGGTTTTTAATGGAGGTAAACTTTGCAATGTGCCACAAAGATGAAGAACTCTAGGTTATAATCAACCAAAATCAGAAATAGGTTTCTGAGTGCTGAACCCTTCATGAGAAATTATCTACTTTGAGCATATCTGCTTTTTAATCAGAGCGATGTTGTTTGAATAGGTCATTCCTCTGATAGTGTATGTAATCAGATTCCAATTTGCTTGGTTTCAAGTGTTAAAATACGAACCTTGAGTTCTGGGCTGTATCTTAAACGTAATTAGTGCAATTTTTTTAAACAAGTTTCTATAATGAGACACCTTGTTTAGCTACAGCTGCTCCATGATTATCCAGAGGAAATCAGAGGCTTAAAAGCATCCGGTTTACATAATTGTGCTGAAAAGTAAAGTTGTATTACTGTCTTTCATTTGGGGTGATAAGGTCTTCCCTCATTCTTGTGGTTTCAGCAATGTAGCCATCTTGCCTGTACCACGCGTGAGATCTAGACATTCACTTTTTTATCTTCCAGTTGGCCCACTCGGAATGATATTCATTCTTCTGAGAAAGTCTGTTGTAACCTGCGTGTTTACAGGATGTTTCCTGTGTAGCAGCTTATCACCCTGCCATCAGTCACCCAGAAAACTGGGCAGCACTTTCAGAGGGCAAACTTTCAGCAAAAGGTATAGGGCTGTTTTCTCTTGGGCCGTAATGATGAAAGTCTCTTTAAAAACTGAGAAACCAAGCTCTTACAGATATTCCTCCCCCTCCCCCCCAACGAATATGATACTATTTCTGTTCCAGATCTGGTCCTAAGACTTCACAGGGTCTTCTCAAGTATACTTCAATATATTTTCAGAATATGGAAAGGGTACAACCATTCTGCACAGAAGTTGAAACCACAAGACAGGAAAGATACTATTATTTTAACCAATTATCTTTTCTGTTGACTGACATGTGCATTGTCATAACTCATCAGACCCAGCATTAATGTTTTTTATATTAGAGCATCACTTAGATTCTTTAAGCATCAACTTCTTGTTGTGCAAGGCATAAAAATTCCTTCATATGAGGAAGCTGTCTCTGTGCCAAAGGCTTTGCAGTTGAAATGTGTTATGAAAACCGAAGTATAAGCTCACAAGGAAGTGAAAGGTATGAGGTAGTAGGAAGATGAATATAGTCATAGATATAAATATCTCTGCATTATTTTTAGCATCTGTATCTCGTACTTTTTGCTTGTGGAATTTCATCCTGTCCAGGAGTCTTACAAAGAAAAGCCCACTCACGTCACCTTTGTCTCATCACAGGAACAGAGAAATGCAGTAAGTTGTTACTTACCTGATTCATCTGGCAGAGATGCTTTTCATACAAAGGCACAATGTGCACCAACTTTCCTAACTCAGCTCTGGAGAATTTCACAGAACTTTTCATTACACTTTTTTTTTTTTTTTCCTTCTTCCAGCGGAGAGGGATACAGAATAATGTCGATTGTTCAGAAATTTCAAACTGCTTATTCCACACAAGAATGGTGATGTGTAGTCATTTTCTTTTCTGTCTTTATGTGGTTTTATTGGGATACTTCTGCAGTTACTGTGTCTTGGAATCAAAATCAACAAAGAATAGCACTTGGATTGTTTGCAAAGTTTTGTTTTGTGCATGAAACTCTCCTTCTTTAGTAAGTCCAAAATGGATGTTATGGAAGAAAATCTTTCTGCTCTG